ATTTATTAAATTTGATTAAGTTACGATTAATATTAGATTTAATAATTTTCTATTCGTAAGTAGGAAACATTGCAGTACGGAAATCGACCTTCGATGTTGATTTCAGTAGTAAATTTCTCTCTTGTATTCAAATCTACATATAGAATGTCTTCATCTTTGGATATTTTGGTTTAATTCAATTTGACTTGTAGTGTTGTTTACTTTCTTTCTGCAAACCTGCTTGATGTGTTCTTTAATTTTGCAAAAAAAAACATGTAACGTTTATCTTAGGACAGTTGTTCGCCAGGTGGTCCGCAACCCTGCACTGCCACAGCGATAGCATTTTCTTGCCGAACTAGGGTGCGGAATCTGACTTCCATTGAGGTAGCATTTTCATATGTTATTAAAAGGTACCTAACTCGTTACGTAAACCGAAAGCCAACTGATTTTTTAAGACAATTCAACTCATGTATAAAAAATCGCATAAGCCGCAGTGAAATTGTCACTTTGACAGCGGCAAAAGTTACCTGCAACTTTTCCAGCGACAAATGCACTAGTGGTTTTTTCACTTATTCATTTTCGAACCAATATCGCATTATCCTTTCCCATATGACTAGTTTGACGTCTGTCAATAATTGATTAATTTGGTGAATTTCTTGTTCGTTAAATTGTCCTGCCGAATTACACTCGAGGTTTGTATTTAAACCGAGTAAATTTGGGTTGTGGCAATTCAAATCTGTTTCCTTTTAGCAATTGGACTCGAAAAACTGTCAACCTAAAAATGCTCCACCTGCGGTGTCGCATTTTTATTAGTTGACAGTTTTTCTCGTCTAATTACTAGGTAACAGATTTTCATTACCTAAACAACCCAAATTTACTCGGTAAAATACAAACCTCTTGTGCAATTATAAGTGAAAGTTTTAGGTACTAACCAGACTTGCAATTTTATGAAAGTTTTTGAAGAGCAGAAACATAGGTATTCTTGTATGGTTTCGCCTTCTTTTTTGTTCACGCCATCGGACACGGTAATTTTTAGCATGGACTCCCGTGTCGCCTCATTTGCACACTATTTATAACACGTAGTTTATTCGCAAGCCTCGTCACCACTTTTTTATAGGTATCTGTAGGTAATAATAATAGAAGTAGAAGTAAAATGAACTACTTTATTTTTATTTAACACATAGTCGTGGTAGTAGCATATAGTTATAAATTCAATGGTAGTAGTTACAGTAAAATTTCTACTACAAAGGGATCTCTGGATATCTACGCTATTCGGTCTATAACGGTCGATTATCCAGGAAAATATACACGATATCAAAAAGAAATTTATACAAAAGTTTTGAGGATTTTCAATGTCTACTGTAGCCAGTAATAATTTTAATTATGCATGGTTCGTGATAAAGACGTGGCACACCAAAATTGCATTTTTTTAAAATGGAGCACCCTATACATCATTCGATATTTCAATTCTTCATCCAATTTTAAGCAAAATTTGTAAGGAGCATAATTAATGTACCTCAATTCAATCGTTTCGTTTCGATAACCTGGAAACAATTGAATGTGGGGTCCATTATGCTTCTTAGAAATTTTACTTAACATTAAGAGAAGAATTGAAATATCGAATAATATACATACAGGGCGTTCTATTAGAAAAAATGCAATTTGTGTAATTAAAATTACTACTGCCTACTATCGAAGTAAAAAGTTCAGTAGCTTCACTTTAAACGTTTTTTTAAAAAAAACTAGTGGATCGATTGAACTAATTTTGTTTGAATTATCATTTATTTATGTGTAAGTAAACATGTTCCAAAATTAGGATAGCGAAATACGTTCAAGAAACCCTATTTTTCAGGTCCATTAGAGAAAGTGAAGTGACTAAACTTTTTACTTCGATAGTAGTAAAGAGTATATAACGTATACTCTTTGATAATCGTAGACATTGAAGAACCCTAAAACTTTTGCATAGAACTTTTCTTCATATCTTGTATATTTTCCTCGATAATCGACCGTTTCCAAACTTATCAGGGACCCTGTATATATTGCTGGTTGCCCCACGTTGAGCGCCAAATAATAATGCTGTGTGCACTGGTCCGTAGACCAGAAAGACCGTACACAAACCACCTAAACAAAACCCTAGCTAGCTCTTCTTTTTTTTTATTTAATACGGGATAAGACTTCTCCCCAGCACAGAGAAGAGATTCGACTCTGCTCTCAGTTAACATGTTAACTTCTAAGAGATAGTGAGTCTGACTAAATACCTTAAACTCCAAACTGAACTGCAAAATTTGGAATAATTAAAATGGACCTTGGGCAAGCATGCAATTCAAACACAGGTAAATTAGAACTGAAGTCGTTAGAATGAAACAGACAAAAATTTATGTGAAAGTTACAAAAGTGCGATTTAATCGTAACACACACACACAAGGAAAATGATACACATAAGACTAAAATTAAGACTTACATGTCCGGGAAATGTAATACAAAGAAACGGTATCCTTACACAAAACACAAAAACAATTTTCAATTAAACACTCGATTAAACACTTACACTATAAAGACCGGGTAGGTAATCGCTGCATCTTCTTTTCGGGTAGACTTCCAACTGAGTCACGTTGACAACATGGGGGCACCGAACAAACACCTCTCCTTGCAGCACCTTATTAGATCTTGGTGGGAATCCATGGTGGTAAAGCTCAAAACGGGGTCAGAAAGTAGACAGTTTATATATATATATATATATGTCTATATATATATGTATATATATATATGTCTAAGTCACTGACTTAGGTCGAAACTATAGTCGCTATGTGATTTTATTCACAATTTTTAATAAAGAAGTATGGGGAAGGTTTAGTGTGTTAAATTCCTATTCAACTGTCTACCTTATTAGATGGCCAAAACTTCAAAATGCCACAACGTAGACAAATAATTACTCGCGAATTCGGCTTCCGGCTTCACACACGAAACTTCTCCCTCACTCACATAAGACCACACTTTCAATACTGGCCGTCACTTCAAATGAAAACTAGCTGGCGGTGACTCGTGCCAAAAAGCTGATTCAAAATTTCAACGAGACGTAATTCTACGTAGACTGTCGCTAAACGCGATTTAAAACTACAACAGAACGTACTTACGCGCTGAACTTGGCCAAAAGTGACCCTCTCCCTCTTCCGCATCTTATTTAAGGCGAAACCCTTCTTCCGAAAATCAAAATTCTAACAACCAATCATACACAGTTGACAACAGAAAATATCCCCTCAACTTACGTTAAAAAACCAAAACAATAGAGGTCGAATAATTTTACTAAACAAATTCTTATCAGACATTAATTAACTAAAATACTAGGAAAAATAAAAATTCATCTCTTTTAACTACACAGAAAAGCGATAAATCGCATCCATCTGTCAATTAAATTAAGCATTTACAATTGATAACAGATAAATTCTCAGAAATTTCTACGTTAAATAAAATAAAAAGGTAAACAAAAACAATCTTGACCGCTTTCTCGTATGACAATAATTTCCGTGCCGTCACATAGACCAACGACAAATTAATAATTTAATTATGAATGTTAATTACACAAAAAAGGAGACTGCCCTTGTCCCTCTTAATTAAAATTTCCAAAATTTCATCCTGCCAAACGAAATAAACACAGCAATATTTGTAAGAGATTTAAGGGAAGGTTAATTTCTTTTCGAGTTAGTTGGATCATTTATCGTATTCAGATTAGAGGTTTAGTTAATGAACCTACTTTTTTTAAGCAGAAAGATGTGTCAACGCCTTAAGATGAAGATTCTCAATATGGCTATGCCAAGATCGTTGCAATATTAAAGTCAGCAAAAGTGATTACTTAGGGATCTATTAGATCTGCTTTTATTATTCAATCTAATTTACAGAATCCCCAGTAAATTGTATTTTGGTTAATACGTTACCCCAAATCGTAAGAAGAGGGTTAGAATCCTGGTAGAACAACAAAAGAAGAAATCTTCATTTATTTTTTTTATTCAATTTATTCAACAATTTAGCAGAGTTTAAATTATATTATCGACCAGATTGAGTAGTGATTTCCTTAAGTTAAGGGAGGTTGATTGGACTCAGCTGAGTAAAAAAGCAATTAAAAACATATTTATCCCTACGAGAAACATAAGAAAAGTTTATAGTTACTTACTGTACGATACGATAAAGGGAAGTTTCAACCATCGAGTGAATTAAATTCCACGAGATGGTTTGTTTTCCTTTATCCTCGTGTATAATACCATATCCATAGGATTTTATGGCCTTTAAAATGGTGTGTCGCCGAAAGTGGTTGGGGATGCGGGGGTAAATATTAAACTAAAGTAAACCTTCCATTAAACTCCCTTCTACCTATCTAAATGGACGTGATTTGCAATGTGCATTTTTTAAAATCAAAATTACAATTGGTGGTTCGGTGGTTCGTTCAACAATGAAAGCTCTTGTGCTTGTATAATCTTATGATTGACTTTTTGCTTCTTAGATCATCAAGTTTTTGATTTAATTAATATATGTAATCAGATTATATTAAATAATATTAAATTACAGTGTGCAGTATGTATGAATCAATGCTGAAAGCGAACTCACCACCGCATTTAGTGTTGGATATATCGAAAGCAGGAATAGCTTCAGAAGCGGTGAAGGGATTTTCACGAACATTGGGCATTCCTACAGTCAGCGGATCTTTTCATCGCGTCGGAAGATCGCTACCATGGGAGAACCTTACAAAAGAAGAACAAAATTATTTAATACATGTTGTTCCTCCTGCAGATGTAATCCTGGAAATAATCGAAAAAATTGTTCTTTTTCAGAATATGTCAGATTTGGCGATCCTTTTTGATGATACGTTTGGTAAACTTACACACCCTAATACAGCACTATTGACCATTACCTGTTTTTAGTTATGGATTATAAATACAAATCACTACTTCAAAATATTGCAGTGCGACATGTTATCAGTGGTGTAAATTTTAAAGAGCTCAATGAACAATTGCGAGTTTTACAGCGCCACAATTTATTTAACGTCTTCATTTTGGGTTCCGTACAAACAATTAAGAGGATTTTAGATGCCGCGGATGACAATGGTTACTTGACAAGGAGATACGCTTGGCACGCCATAACACAAGATAATGAAGAACTGAAATGTAAATCTAAAAATGCTACGATTATCTACGTAAAACCATTGATTGCTAATCAATACCTGAACAGAACGAATTTTCTTCAAAATAGCTACATGTTGACGACCAAGCCGTACTTAGCAGCGGCATTTTACTTTGATCTGGCACTTCGGGCGTTTATGTCTTTAAGGTAAAAGGTCTATTAGTTGGCGAATTTGTTACTGACTTAATTTTGCGTTAGGAATTTGATTTCTGACCAGGAATGGCCTATAAAAGCCAACTACAGTAAATGCGGGGATTTAAACACAACAATTGTCCGCAAAGATGTTGACCTTCGTCAGTATTTTAAAAAGGTATTACTAAAAATGACCATAGCGATAGGTTCGTTCTTTCATCTATAGTCATCTAGTGCTTTGCTAATTACATGAGCTCCATTACTAATATGTTAGTATTAACTTTTACTAACCTTACTCTGCGGCGTGTAAGTAATAGCTGTGGTAATAGGTAGGTATACATCCCGCAGTGCATTGCACCACTCCAATGCGGGTGTCGAATGAATGTATCGTGTAAGTATGCGAAAATAAAATTGTTTTAATGTAAACAGAGGATATAACACTCTGGGAATTTATCCTAATTGTACAACATTAACACACTCACGGCCGGTTGCAGGAACGCGAATTGTAATCAAAATCCTACATTATTTGCCAAATCTGGGTTTAAACAAGAATTTTGACATTTGATTGGCTGCCTACTGCAATATAAAGCCAATCAAATGTCTTAATACCGGATTAAACAATAATCCTGGGTTATTTTTTTGTGCAACTGGCCGTCAGAGTAATGATGGGTGTATAGAATCATTATCATTAGTTCACTACATCAAATCATTAAGAAATAGCCAATAATAATAATAATAATAATAATAATAAACCTTAACAGAACTACACGCTCACAACATACTGTAATATCTCCACCAAAAATCCAAGCAACCACACAAATACAACGTCAAGAACAAAGAAACACCATAAATACAAGTAACGCAACATGCACTACAAAGACAGGTCCACCCAATAAAGTTACACGCCCTAGCACACTTAAAAAACACATAACTCCTTCTTCACAGAAACACACCACATTGTCACAACCCACTCGTATACAACCGAAGCGCAAAAACCTTAACAGCACCACAGGCTCACAAAATACTGCAATATCTCCACCAAAAACCCAAACAACCTCACAAATACGACCTCAGGAACAAAGAAACACCATAAATACAATTAAAAAACACAAAACTCCTTCTTCACATAAACACACCACGTTATCACAACCCACTCGTATTCAACCCAAACGCAAAGCCAAAGAAACACTTACACAATAAACTCTATTTAATAAAATTACAGGAATTATTATAATGATATTTTTGTTTTGTTTTCTTCTTTCCTGATAGCGTTGACTATTGGGGCCATTAATAGCTATGTTGGTAAGTATGAATTACATACTATCTCTAGATTTCCAATGTGAGTGTGTGAATATTTATTTTATTTTTTATTTTTCTTTAGAACCCTACATAACTTCACCAGACACAGACACAGACACTAATCGTTACTTGATTTTAATCCGTGCGATTAGTTAACCAGGCTAGACCTGAGTTCTCACAAGAAACACCGACAATAATAATAACTTTTATTATGTTTAAGTAACCGAAAAAAGTTACATACAATCGTCAAAATAAAAAATAATTACACAAAAATCTAAACCGAGATCTAAACTAATACATAAATTTAAATTTTTTCGGCGAATTTGAAATTAAAATATTCATTTTGGGAATAGAACGCCTTTGACAACAAAAATTGTTTAATGTTGTTGCTAAAAACCTTTTCATTAAGCAACTTAATAGTATCGGGTAGATGATTATAAAATTTTATTGCAATATATTCTGCACCTTTTTTCGATATACTTAATCTTAAAAGGGGTAAACGATAATCCTCCTTGCTACGTGTATCGTGAGCATGAATCTGATGTTGTTGCCTATACTTAGCGAGATTTGCCTTAGCATAACACAAGCAGGTAAAAATAAACAGACAAGGCAATGTAAGGATCTTTAAATCTATAAATGCCTGTCTGCAATCATCTCTATAGCCCAGACCTGAAATTACTCTTAGTGCCTTGCGCTGAAGTCTAAAAAGATCTCCACTGGAAGAAGAGCTTCCCCATACTATAATACCATAGGTCAATAAAGAATGGCACAAAGCGAAGTAAGCGCGTCTTAAGACATTTGCTGAGACATTATCTGCTAATCGACGTAGGACAAATAAGTTACAGCTAAATTTTGCTTGAACATGTTCAACATGCATACTAAAACTCAATTTGCTGTCAATACAGAGTCCCAGGAACTTGACATAGCGTGGTGTTAAAAGATTATGTGTTCTCAGGGAGAGAATTAAGTGTTGTGTTTTTGAAATATTGATTTTTAATTCATTTGCAATGCACCACTTATTTGCAAGATCCACTAAATACTCGGATTCACCGTTTAATTGCTGAACAGATTTACCCTGTTTAAAAAGAGTGATGTCGTCTGCATACAAAATGCAGTCATTATATAATGAAACATAAGCGGGGAAGTCATTCACATAAATTAGAAATAATAGGGGCCCAAGAATACTTCCTTGAGGAACCCCTCTTTGAATGGGTAATTTGTGTGACAGCGCATTATTAAAACGTACACACTGCGATCGACCAGACAAGTAAGAATTAATGAGCGACACACTTATTTTATCAAAATTATATACGTTTTAATTTATTAAGAAGAATTTTGTGCGAGACGCAATCAAAAGCGGAAGATAAGTCCAGAAAGGTAGCTACGAGGTAATCGGAATTTTCAAAACATTCTAAGGTTTTATTCATAAAGGTCAAGATCGCATCAATAGAAACGTAGGTTAGCGACGCATAATAAACCTTTGCTCCTATTGACTATTTCTTAACGATCTAATGTAGTGAACTGTTGATAATTATTGTAAAAACCCATCATAACTCACTCCTAACACGGGGCTCATTTTGCGTATTGGTCGCTATATGAACCCAGTGAATCCTGGCTTCGAATGTGCTAACTAGCTCCAAGCTCTCACATGGGAGTTGGGACCTGCAGGCTCGATGCAATTCCAAGGACTGGCTACCTAGCACATTTTTTACTGAATTTTAAATGTTGAAAATGTAGACATTTTTTTAAACATTTTAGATACGGAATTATGTAGCTTCTCTGGCTCCATGTTTTGAGCAACCTATGACATACTAATCCTAATACCTACTAATCGTTTTACCCCCTTTTGGGTAGGTATCCATTCTGCATTTTCTAAATTTCTACCCAAGAACACGAATATAATGAATCCAAACTCATTTTTTATCACTAAAAAACATGATTTTTCATGTTTTATTTAGGAAAGTTTTGACTATTCAGACAGAAATGTCTCCTTGAAACCTATCACTTTTCCTTTGTCGGTACCCATTTCCGATGCTCCGTTACGCACATTAGCGGGTTAAGGGTCACTACGGAGATCACAATATTAAAAACAAAAAATAAAATGCGCATATGGGCATCCAGGAAATGAATTCAGTCGTTTTCCCCAAGAAAATTATTGCATAAATGTGATAGTTGACATACTTAAATCTTGGCGAATGCATTGCTTACAGTGCTTATTGCACATAGGGATTAAGGACACGGTTCGACTCGCCACTGGACCACTCGCCAACGCGCCAACTCGCCACTGACTTGATAACTCCCCACTACGATAACTCGCCAATGGACAACTCGCCACGAAGAAGAACGTGGAACCGCTGACATAAAAAATATATTGGAAAATGTTAGCAGACATTACTAATTACATTAGAACTAGGTCATTACAGAAGATGTCGTCATTGCAAAATGCAGTAAAAGAAACAGGTATTTGTGGCTTTCATTCAAATATTGACTATTAATAAAAAACAGTATTTCGATAAACTTGTTTAGGGATGATTATAGATGATCTATTGTGTTTAACAATAAATGAAAAAAATGCAAAACTGAATAGAACCTGGCAATGTGTTTTCCATTGGAGTGATGTGCCGCCGCAGTGGTGAGTCAGTCAGTAGCGCTAGCGAGTGGTCCAGTGATGAGTCGCCCTTGGCTAGTTGTCGTGTATCGTCGGGATTAAACGAATCGAGATGCATATCGAACGTTCATAATTGCGCACGACTTTGCCGGAAGATTTATTCAGATTTCGTTCGGATTCGTTAAAATTTTGATGACATACCTAATTGTAATTACACACGTCCTTCTTTAAATACACTTAGCTAAATTCGCTTAAATTCTATATTTCGTGCAATAAAACTAAATCAAACATCAATGATTTTCACTAATAGTTCGGGACTTAGAGTCAAATTAGCTTTGAGTTTTACAACAATAACAGTTGTAATAAATAGTGATAATGGAATTGTAACAAATTACCGAAATTGAATGGCGATCTTTGTTCATTTGAAGGTGGGCTTTTATATAGACCGCAGGGACATTTTATCTTGTATTCGTTTAAATTGTCATGCCGAATACAGCTCGTGAGTTTGAAATTTCCGGAACTTGCGGAACTTTACTTACCTATCCGTATTTTTCATTCAAAATTTAAAAGGAAATGTTCTTGCATGTCTAGATGTGTAATTACTCATGATGACAGCAATTTAAGAACTGCACAGTTGGCAACATAAGGCTAAATACAATAACCGTGATTGTAGCTAATCTGTTTTATTTCAACGTCGCCACAAGTAAGGCGTCTGACAAATGTACGTTCGTCGATGTTAAATTGTTAATCAATATTTTGCAAAAGAGACAGCTAAAATTTTGTAGTAAATCTCGATATACCTTTAAACGACAGTATCACTGTCATTTCAAAACCATAATTCTTAAATTTCATGATCAACGAAAAAGAACGCATACTTCCAGGAATTTAGAATGCCCAGATAAAATGAGTGTAGTGATCATCCATATTCCGAAGAGAAACTCTCGATCAAAATTTCCCGACGATCTACCAGGCGAATAGTCTTGCGTTATTCAGTTTGGCAATTCACACAATCACACCACAGAGAGCGCTACAGCTCTTATCCACAGGCTAATAGGTGAAGAAATACGAGTGGAGATTAAACAATACTTTGGACATTGGGAGAGCGGCTCAAAAATTTGTTCAAGTATCTGAAACATTGTTTGTAGATACCACTAGCAACTGTGATATCTAAAATCATATACTGTATTTTTAGCGCATTTTTTAAGAATTAAAAAAAAATGTGCTATTGTTTGCGTTTTGTCCGTGCGTCCGTTCGTCCGGACCTACTTCTGCCGCTTTGAACTAAGTTTTAGGGGAACGGTCCTAGAGTCCTGGATTTTTTTGCAGTAGGAAGCCTATACCTTGAAGGTGTGCCAGACGGCCATCAAATTTCGCTGTCTTAAGGGGGGACATAAATTATTTCTTGAGATGCTGTTTTTGAAAGTAAAACGTGCATAACTTTCACATACCACAACCAATTGGTCTCAAATTTTGCATACGCATGGCTTTAGTGGTGTCAAGTGATACTTTTGAAAGGGGGGGGGGGTAAACACGCCTTCTACCCTTCATAGTAACCGCTTTCCGCCTTTTACATAAAGAAAATATGGATAAAACCACTAACTTGCATCCTTTCGTATGATGGTTGCTGGGAAAAAGAATGTTGAGTCATTTAAGCTCCCAAGCGAAACATTCTATATACTTTTATTTTATCTGTTTACATAGGACACATCCAAAGTTTTTGAATTTGTCACAATCATTGGCAGTCCCAAATTGGATATACGAATTGCTTGACTGTACGCATGTGGTACCTTCAACCTCATCCGCCCAAAAGAGTAATCTCAAACATTATACCAATCACTTATATACAAAGAGGTCATTGAAAATTTCAATTTGTAACGCACGAATTAGCAACCATAACCTGACGAATGACGATAGAGTATTCATGGTTTGGCGAAGGGTATTCGATATTCCAGCCACATTTTACCTGTAAATCTGTGGGGGCCCAATTATTACAAATTTATAGAGGACCGTTATAGGTATCAATCCCTCCTGCATTTGGAGATTTATACATGAACGATAACGAATCGAGTTACATGTTCACCATGGATCTTACTGCTGTTGAGTTTAATAATATATCCCGCAACGCATCTGTGATACAATTAGGGAAATGGAACGCTACGCGTGACAGCAATATCGTATTCCAGAATTCTGAAAACATGGTAAATTATCGGGCAGATATTGTGCACCGGGTAGTTACGGTCGTGGTAAGGAAAGAAAATGCACAGTTTGTTACTTTCTCCACTCTGTTTTAGCAACCGCCATTTGTATATTTCAATAACACAACGGGATATTTTGGTTATTGCATTGATTTAATGGATAAGATCGCGAATTATTTAAACATAAAATACGAAATCCACACGGTACAAAATGGAGGGTTTGGGTACATTAACGACAGTGGAGAATGGAATGGTGTTGTTCAGGAGTTGATTCAAAGAGAAGCTGAAATAGGCCTGGGCGCAATGCCGCTCATGTCAGAAAGAGAAACTGCTATAGATTTTACAGTTCCTTATTACGAATTAGTTGGCCTTGCAATTTTAATGAAGTACAATACGCCTCATAGCTCCCTGTTCAAATTTGTGACTGTTATGGAGTATGATGTGTGGCTCTGTATACTCTCATCATTTACTATAACAAGGTAATTTTACGTCCACCAATGTCATGTTAAAATCTGATTTTTTAGTTTATTCTTATGGATTTATGAGCGTTTTAGTCCATACAGCTACTCAAACAATCGCCTAAAATACGTAGATGATGAAGACAAAAGGGAATTTAATTTGAAGGAGTGCCTGTGGTTTTGTTTGACATCGCTTACACCTCAAGGGGGAGGTGCCGTCCCCAAAAGCTTATCCGGGCGAATGCTGGCGGCAACTTGGTGGTTATTTGGATTTATTGTTATTGCTTCTTACACAGCCAACTTAGCCGCCTTTCTGACCATTTCGCGATTAGAAGAATATGTGGAATCTCTTGATGACTTGGCAAAACAGTTCAAAGTACAGTACGCCCCTCATCAGGGATCCGATGCCGACCTTTATTTTCGACGAATGGCAGAGATTGAAAAAATGTTCTATAAGTAAATTAGATACCTACTGACAAGAAAAATCTCTAATTCATATTTAAATTGTTTTAGCATTTGGAAGAGTTCAAGCCTAAATTCAAGCCTAAATAATTTTCAGCGCGCTCAGTTAGCGGTTTGGGATTATCCCATAAAGGAGCAGTTTATTAAAATGTATCGAATCATGAGCGGTCATATGCCATTGACGTTCGCAGAGGCCGTTGATAAAGTAAGATTAGCAAAACCCAGACCATTCGCTTACATCGGTGACGCTACGGATATAAAGTATTTGGCGCTTACTTCCTGTGACGTCAGAATAGTAGGAGAAGAGTTCTTCAGGAAACCATACGCGTTAGCTGTACCTCAAGGATCTCCATTAAGAGACCAACTCAATGCGGCGTGAGTATAGCCAATTTCTTTTATAAATATTCACTCTCTTATTTATTTCCAATAGAATTTTACATTTTCAACGTGAGGGGGAATTACTGCAATTGAAGAAAAAGTGGTGGGATAATAATCCATTTAAAGTACAATGTGACCAACCAGAAAATGATACGGGCGGTATTAATTTTCAGAACATTGGTGGACTTTTCGCAACTATTTTTTTGGGAATCTTCATAGCTGCCATTGTATTTGGCATTGAATATTGGTATTATAAATACCACAAAGTCAAGAACGCGATTGGAATTATCGAGGAGGTCGCATCTATAGAGAATTTTAATAATACCACAAAGCACTCGTCTAAGCAGTAGGAAGGAATGCACGTTTGTTGTGATTTCTGCACGATATATTGGGTATGACCTATGTAGAAATGGTTCTGAGTACCTACCAATTGCAATACTGGGAAAACAAATAATAGGTAGATCAATGTTATAAGATTGGTGCTCTATCGTCGTTACATAGACCTGTGTCTAACCCAGTGGTTCTCAACCTTTTTTTGGTGACGGAACATTATAGATTGTAAATGAAATCGCGCGGAACACCTAATGCCGAGGTGGGGGCGGTAATGCGAGTTGTTAATACAAACGAAAATTGATCAAGAAGTAAGTTTTATTTTAAGTCACTAACAAAATGTATTTTTTTTTCAAACTGAAACTTAAAAATATATAAAACCAACAGTAACATAAGAAACAAAGTTTATTAGTGGGACACTTGTGCCTGATGTTGTTGGCATATTTTGTCAATATCAGGCCTAATGTGAGAAACAGTGACCCTCATTAAAAATAAATAATTAAAAATACGCACGTTTCAATAATACACATATTTTATAATAAATAATAACTGACTAAATTAAGAGGTAACATATTACATAATTATATTTCGCGAAACATTTGATAGGCATTCGCGGAGCACCAATGTTCCGCGGAACGCTGGTTGAGAACCACTGGCTAACCTTTTTGTAGTTCGTCAAATTCATTTACCATACACTGAATGAACACAGTATATCTGACTAACTCTGTTTGTGATTGTTGATGTTAACTTTACTTTACTTTGATAAGCATTGTTCACAATAAAAGCGTGTTTTACTATTTACGTCTTGGAATTTGTAGGAATAGCGAGTTCTTGTAATAACACGGTACTAAGTACTGTTATACTTGATGTTTCCTAGTTCATTTTTTAGTGTAGGTATCTTACTCCAGTTTATACGTACCATTATACGAGTGTGTAGGTATTTCTTAATTTATATTATACCTATACATGTCATGTCTAACGTTGCTTTATCAAAATTCGGTTTCAAATTATTACTTGATGAAATTGAAGTTTGTCTCTCTCAATATTCGCATATAGTATAGGTTCTCACTTTTTCTTTTCTATTTATTTCTTGAATGTAAGATACCAAAAATAGAAAACGATTATTGTGAATCACAAATAAATTGTTATGAAAAACTTGTCAGCTATAAGTATTACTATTTTTATCATTTGACCATTGCTTAAGCATTGAATTAATTTTTTATTCAATGCTTTAGGTACATTGTGCATTATTGGAAAATGTCATTACTTTCTAAATTTTTTGAAAATTGGGTGTCTCTGGAAAGACCATGTAATCGGACCCTTCTTTTAAGCCCCACGCTTGCGTACAAAATGAAATGGTTTTTGCACATGATCATTCCTTCTTTGAAAATAGGTATATCTCAAAGTTTCTGAAGTGACTTTTTTTAGCAAAAACATTTTATAAATCAATTAATTGAGTATTGCAAATCTGCACTCTATCACATAAAATGATCACTAAAGAGAAACAACATTTCATGTAGAGCTAGTCATAGGCCAGATAATTTATGGAGTGCAGATTTGCAATGTTAAATTAATGGACATAATTTTGTTCACTAGTCGGCCAATGTAGTCAGGCCGGTTGTAGGACAATTCGCATCCGAATAATTCGCTCCCGGACATTTCGCACCAGGACAATTCGCACCCGGGAAATTTGCACCGGAATAATTCGCACCAGAATTCTCGCTCCCCTGAGATTTTGATGTCTGGACACTTTTGCACCCGCATACTTATCGTCAAGAGAGTTCACATTTCCCACCGCACGTACATTTTCGACGGAAAACAATTAAAAACCCAAAAGGGTAGTAAAACTGGAAAGGCCAACGACCATATCCGTGGTTGGTTCCAGAGTAAAATTGAAATTTGAAGAGGTTGATAAACTAAATTTTTTGCAAGGGAGGGCCGAACCTAGCTAATCTTACCTTGTCATCGTTGACCCAGATCCTGGCATTGCATGTTAAACTAAGAGCCGATGAATCCTTCTTTGCTCTTCTCGCTCGACACAGCCATGATGAGCAGTTTTGGAGTTTAAGGTTCTTAGCAAAGAGGTACATGTATCCTTCATAGATTAAGTATCTCTTTCCCCTTTTCGTTGTACCGAACTCCATTGTTACGCGCCCGTATAGTTTGCACCGCCTAAATCTCTTATCCATTATCAACTTTGTGTAACAATCAAATTTTAGCCTAAGGGACAAGTCCATTTTTGATGATATTTTCCTTGATTTTGGCTTAATGCACTTAAATATTTATGTTGGTTAAACAATAGCCATACAATTTGTAGAGGAATAATTTTTGAATAGTATTTATGAGGCAAGAATTCATACGTACAATCCTATATGTACCTTTTTAAATGGAATGGACCATATCAAAGAAGTAGAGATTTTAGGTCACTTTAATAGCATCCATATCACTCAAAATCTGGAATTGAGTACTTATTTTATTGTAATCTCAGTATTAAACATGAGAACACTTGCTAAAGGCACCATGAATGAAAATTTATTTAAAAAAAAAAAACAAAAAAAAGGTAAAAAGACACTCATCCGTGATGTAAATTGTCCATGCACTCATGTTCACAAGTAGACGGGTGCTGCTAAACGCTGGTATCGGTCTATCAGCAAAACTGTCACCTGACATTTCTTAAACCTATTTACCCAGTTTTATTGTACCAATTCACAATGAAGGTTTTTTTCATTTGGAAACCTTTTACGTACAAATAATATTGCAATAGGAATATAAAAGTCTAAATGAAATGTTAATTCCTAATAGCTGCAAGTTAATTTTCCTAGTTCTCTAACCTTCGATGTCGTCCATTTAAAGGACACATAACGAAATACGTATGTATTGTCTTAATAGAATCTCAAGTAAATTATAATCATATTTGAACGTAAAACAAATAGATTCTTGCGAGTTTCCGTAAAATTAAAGAGATAAGAACTGTAAAGTAACGAAAAAAGAAAAAAATGTTGATAAATATCGTGAAAAAAATTGATCTTGCTATAAATTATATGGCTATTATTTAAATGATATACTGAAATTGTGAAGATCCATGACTCTCAATGGGGTGCTTAAGAAGCTTCGGAGAAATAACACCAAAATCTACCCATTTATTATTATAACAATTTTTATGGGGAGATTTTGGTGTTAATTCTCCGAAGCTAAATAATATACGGTGGTGCATTAGAAACCATACATAGCTATTTCTGTAAATTAAAATAATTTTCAAAAAACGCTTTGGCACGTCAAATTGATCATGGAAGGAAACAGTGTCTAAAATAAAACTTGCTCACTAATGTCTTTGTCTCGCATCTCTGACAGTGCAACCCTTAAAATCTTAAATGATGCATCATTGGTAAGGTCGTCCATCTCTGAATTCGGATATGTAATTTTTTTGGTTTAGTTGTTTCATTTCCAGCGCATTGGACGTTGCAGGTACAAGTTTTCTCTTTTTTATACCACTTGCAACTGCATAATTTTGACGCACGATCGCATTAGCTTCTATTACATAGTGATCGGCCCGACATCCTTAAATTAAAAAGGAAGTATATAGGTACTTAACAATTACAAACATTTAAAAGAAAAAATCATCAATATCGACCTGTTCCTAAAACGTTTCAAGATTTTTAAAGGCTTTACTGTTTTGATTATTAACAATCTCTTAAAAAATTGCCAGAATTTTTCCATGTATCTCTTCAAACTATAAAATAAATAAGAGTAAGAAAATCAAAAAGAAACTTTTAAGTTCATTCACTACAATAGTTGTAGCAAAGATAACGCAAAAAAAATAAGCAGTTAGTCTAATTTTACTCAGTCACCAATAATCAACATATATATAGCCATATGTGGTCAAAGAAACGTAAAACTGATTCTAAGAAAACTGGAAACTTACCTTTTCTGAACACCACCACAACATTACCACCAGAAACAAATTTTTTTAAAATTAAAAAAAAAGTATACACAAAATCAAAACCCGTGCTCAGATAAATTTTAAAATACCACTCTGTCAAACGTTCAAGAATGAAGATACTATACAGGCGTTAAAGTTCTAATTAGTTGTGGTCATACATACTTAAACCCGATTTTTCGGACCTAATTACTTTTACCTTGTGTTAAACCCTATTCATCTTCCAGAAATAATAGAAAGGATGTCATTATGATATTTCTCTTATTGTTTCTTTATGAAGTGCAATTTGTGTTATCGGGGTCTTTTCAAATTTACCTTTAATTATAATATTATCTTAATTACTTATCCAAATTTAGTGCCATCTATGAAATGCATTGTTCTATTGTCATTTATACATACTCGTATTGTCTAAAATAAATTTAATTCATTTCCTTTGTCACCCTTTTCAACTAAAGAAATAAAGAACAATTTTTTATGTGTCTTCGTTAAGAAATCTTCATGCAAAGGAGCGTTAAAATTACTTCCTTTTTCTATTTTCATCTTGATCTTATAATGTAAATATTTTTAACTTTAGACTTATCACTTTGTTTGTGTACGGTATTATATGTTGATTCTGTTTTAATATTAAGAACGTCTCAAAAGTAGCGAATATTACACATAATATTGTAGATATTGCTGTGATATTTCGTCTGGCAGGACGAAATTTCGGGATTCATAAGTAGAATGGACAAGGGCGGTTTCCTATTTTCTATGTAATTAATTTTCTTTAATATAAATTTTTGTTTTGTGTCGTTGGTTACTGAAACAGAAATTATTGTTACGAGAAAGAGGTCAAGGTTTGTTTTTGTGCACATTTTTTTAAATTTTCTTTAACGTAGATTTCCGAGAATTTTATATCGCTTTTATTCTGTTATCAATTGTAAACGCTTAATTTAATTGACAGGTGGATGTTATTTATCGCCTTTTCTTTGTATTTAAAAGACAGAAAATTCTATTTTTCCTAGTATTTTAATTTTGTGTTATCTCTTAATGTCGGTTAAAAATTGATTATAAAAATAATTTCTACCTCTGGTTTAACGTGCGTTAGGGGGGGAAATTTTCTGTTGTCAACTGCTTATCATTGGCTATTTTAATTTGTAATTTGGAAGAAGGGTTTCCACGTTAAATAGAACGGACTGAGAAGAGGAAGGGCTTTTTGCCACTGTCAACGCAGAACTACGTTTGTTTGAAAATTTAAATCGCCTTTTGCCAAGTTGAGAGCAGATCCACGTCTGCAGAAGTTTGAAGTTTTGTTTTGGAGTTGTGAAGTTTTAATCGTCAGTTTTGTTGCCAGTTAGGGCAGTTTTGGAGTTGAGTGAAGATTTTTTTTTATTTCGCTTCGGCGAGTTACCGCAGTAGTTTGGATTGTGTAGAGGTCAGCCAGCATTGGAAGTTGGTGGAGTTTCGGTTTTACGGAGTGGCAAGCAATTTCACAATAATTTCTGTGTATGTCATTCGAACGATTTCATTTCCTTTAATTTACTGTTTTCTTTGGATACTTGCCCTAGGTCCATTTTATTTAATCAAAATTCTTAAGATCTATTTGGAATTTAAGGTATTTGGTCTAACCCACTATCTGGTAGAAGTTGGTTTAACTGAGAAAAGAGTCGAATTCCTCCTCTGTGCTGGGGAGAAGTTTTGTTCCGGGTAAGATAAAGGTTTGAGCTAGCTAGGTTTGTTTAGGTGTTTTGTTTTGTGTATGGTCTTTTTGGCCTACGGACCGGTGCACACAGCAATATACTATAACTAGGTATAACTATTTGGTATTTAATTACTCCACAAAAGACGTTTCAGTTACCTAT